TAATACCTGAAATGTTGACTGTTCCTTTCCTCCAGATGCTGCCTGGCCTGCTGTGTTCTTCCAGCCTCCTGTTTGTCTATCCTTCTCATCTCTGTCTTGAGTGGGAGACTGCTCATCTTTAAACCATGTCTTCTTGTTCTCAGTTCCCCCAGGAGATAAAATATTCTACTTTGTACTCTGTCAAGTCCCCTCAGAATTTTATATGCTTTAATAATCTCACCTCTCCATTCAGCATAGGCCCAACCTGTTCAACCTTTCTGTATCAGACAACCTGCATTTCTGAGCTGCAATAATGTATGAATCTATAAAGTGACTTACCCCTCATTGTATAAGAATGAAAGTGTTAAATATGAAGTCTGTAATATGCAGTTTCAGAAAGCAGTTAACTCATTTCTGATTTGTGACTGAATTGTTTCATTTTAGACATTGTTTGAACTGAAGTTTGAATTTCTGCGAGTTATCTGCAACCATGAACATTACATACCGTTAAACCTGCCAATGCCATTTGGAAAAGGCAGAGTTCCAAGATATCAAGGTAATTTGAAGAATAAATCCAAGTTATATTGTGGATTTCTAGTTGTGGCAATACTGAAGAGCTTTGATTTTTTTAATTTAACTTTTAATTTGACTTTCTTTTTGGAAAAGTGCTCATTGCTAACGATTGCTTCATTCTTCTTGTGGTCTTTCTCCTCCCCACTTTGTTCCTCTCTTTTGTTAATTAGCATTTCTTTCACCAACTGTGGAGTCATGTACTGCTCCTGTAGGTAGGTAAATGGGATATTGTGCTTGCCTTTTACAGAGACTGTGTACTCAGCCAGGAAGCAAATTAGCCTCTCAAATTTCTCTCAAAAATGGTTTTGTTCTGTCAAGTTCCCTCCTGACTTTGGGAAAGTAAAATGTGCAATTTTAATTATAAATTGCATTGTGGATAATCAATCTTGAGTATCGCTGAGAAAAGACATATTCTGTCAAAGATTTTTGTCTCAAACTCATCAGGACAATTTGCAAGAAACGCTGAAGTAGAGGGAAGACATAATTTATACTGTTATGAGAAGAGAGTGCTGATTGTTTGGCAAGTGGCATTTGCCGTTAACTGGATGCAACCATCAAGCCAAAAAGCTGTTCTGACTCTTAAGTTAATGAATAACATGGCAAATGAATTTCAGTATCAATGTCATGCTGGGTACAAATGCTGTACATCTCAAAGGCTGGCAGTAGGTCATATCAAACAGCATACCCTTCAGTTATTTGCAACAAGCAAGGTATTAACTGTACCCAAACATCTACACTTAGAAAATTGCAACATGAGATGTGATTCACAGTTGGACAGCATGTACTGAATTATGTCTGGTAAAGGATCACACTGATAACCAATTACTGATTAGCAGTTATGCTTGCAGCGTGGTGCACATGCATATACTGGAAACTGCATATTACTACACAGACTGGCTTCTTTGCAGACAGAAAGAAAATGTACACATACTGTCTCAAATCAACAAAATTAGGTACAAACATTCTTTGGTCAAGGCATTGCCTGGAGAAATGAACCAATCAGTAAACCTGCCTGGTTTAAAATTTAAACAAGGCTTGGCAGTTAAATGGCAATCATCATTCACTGGCACATTCTCTAGGCAACACCTCTACCAATTCAAATCCAATTGCCAAGGGCAGCACTCTGTGGTATAAATATTGTTTTCCTTTTACTTTGGTATTTCCTATGAGTTTTCCTGATGAGTGCAAGATAATAAGCTTTGACAAAATGTATTTTTTTCAGCAGTACTCAAGTTCTTTACTAATAAATGACTATTTATTACGTGAAGCATTAGCTCACAACTCAACAAATCTCCATCCACATTAATACTTTTTCTTGCTGGGGTCCCATAAGGTTAGCAGTTCCAAATGAACAGTTGCCCAGTAACTCTTTGCTAAGCGTTTGCCTTCTCACAGTAGTTCATGTATTTAATCTTGTTAGTTAAATAGGTGTAGTCTGGTAATTATTTTGTTTTCTATCTACTTGGAAAATAAGAATCTTACCTGGGATTAAGGGGCAAAGTAAGTATTATAGAATGGTCACAGCTGTATGTGTCTGTGTCAACTCTTTGCGAGAGTTGACTCAGCATGTCCTAGTGCACTGATCCTTCTCCTGTAGCCCGTTTTTTTCTCTTCAGTACAGCTACACAAATCATTAAAAGTTGTGTTGTAGATGAACAGGACTAAATCAAAATAAGCCATGTGTGAGGGCAAATTTCTAGACTGATCGAATTAGAAAATAGCAAATATGTGCTGAAAATATAACTTTAACTGGACTAGATGTAGAATATGGTATACAATTCTGTTCACCACATTATGAAAATGATTGAGGTACAGTTGAGGATCTCGAATAATATTTGAGGATAATACCAGAGTTTATGTCCATTAGGAGAGGGTGAACAGGCTGTGATTGTTTCCAACTGAAAAAGGGATGCCCCAACAAAGATCTTTAACATGATGAAAAGTTTGAATAGACTAGATGCATGAAATGTTCTTGCTACTTTAATTTTTTAATGGGATGTGGATGTCTCTGGTATTATGAGCTTTGTTGCCTGCCCCTAATTGCCACTGAGTCTGAGGGGCTGTTTCAGAGGGCAGTTAAGAATCAACCATATTGCTGTGGATCTGGAGTCACATATAAGTCAAACCTGAGGACAATGGCAGATTCCCTTCCCTAAAGTGAATCAAATGGAGTTTCATGAGAATTGATGATATGGTTATCATTCCTGAGGCAAGCTTTTAGTGCCAGATTTTTAAAAATTAATTATTAAATTAATATTCCACTAGCTGCCCAAAAATGGGATCTAAACTTGTGCACCACATTAACTGTATCTCTGGTTACCAGCTCGTTGATCGAATAGAAATGGTCGATACAGTGTGGAGCTGGAGGAGCACAGCAGGTCAGGCAGAGGAGCAGGAAATTCGACATTTCGAGTCAGGACTAGGGACGGGGAAGGGAACTCGGAAGTAGAGGGTGGGGTGGGGATGGATGCAGGTAGGGGTTAGTGGGGATTGGTCAGTGGGCAGGGTGGGACGGATAGATGAGAAGGAAGATGGACAAGTTGTGTCAGGTCAGGGAAGGGGGATGAGAGGGAAGGCATAGGATGAAGCCAGGGCTGGGGAGGTTTTGAAGCTGGTGAATTCTGTGTTGAGGCCATTGAGCTGTAAGCTCCCGAGGCGGAATATAAGGTGTTGTTCCTCCAGTTTACGTGTGGCCACATTGTGACAAGTGTGCAACAAGCTGCCTGGGTGACATGTCCATCCTGGGCCTCCTCCAATCTCTATAAACTGGAGGAACAACACCTTATATTCTGCCTTGGGAGCTTGCAGCCTCACGGGCTCAACACAGAATTCACCAGCTTCAAAATCTCCCCACCCCTGGCTTCATCCTGTGTCCAGCCCCCATCTCATCCCCGCCTCCTTGACCTGACACAACCTGTCCATCTTCCTTCTCACCTATCCGCCCTACCCTTCCCATTGACCAATCTCCACAACACCCTACCTGCACTCACCTATCACCATCCCACCCGCCTTCCTCTATTTATTTTGGAGCTCCCTTCCCTCCCCCCAGTCCCGATGAAGGGTGCAAACCCAAAATGTCAACTTTCCTGCTGCTCTGATGCCACCCTGACCTGCTGTGCTCTTCCAACTCCACACTGTATTGGCTCTGACCTCCAGCACGTACAGTCCTTGCTATCTCCTGATCGAATAGATATGGCCATCTATTCCAAACTCCACCTCGTGGGGAAGAGCAAAATTACAGGCTGCCAGTCTAAGATAAGTCACTAACAAACTGCCAGTGGGAAATTCAGGAGAATTGTCTTTGTCCAGTGAGAATGTGGAACTCTCTCCCACAGAGAATGGTCAAGGTGAATAGTTTAGAGAAAACTGGATAAACACAAGGGAGAAGGGAGTAGAAGGCTACGGTTGGTAGAAGGAGGTAATGAACGGAGCATTAATGTTGGCAAGGACTGTTCAAACCAAACAGTCATTTTCTGCGCACAGTGGTCTGTGTAATGCTATGCTAAAATGTTAATTGGGTATTTTAATCCACCACAAGTATTTTCTGAAACACAAACAGATTGGGCAGGAACATTGTGGGAAGGTTAAACGATGATGAATGAAAGGATATTTGCAGAACTTGGATTTGATAACTCATGGGATTTCAAACAGAAAACTACACCCAAATGTGGGGGAGGTGGAAAACAAAGCTTCCTGGCATTTGGGGGATAATGAACGGATTACTGATTCAATCTCATTGTAATAAAGTACAATTGTTTGCATTTGTGCATTTGTGTGTATGTGTTTTTATTTTGTGTGTGTGTGTGCGTGTGCGTGTGTGTGTGTGTGCTTTTGAGTACTGTGAACATTTGCAGCACAATTCTTTTTAGTTTAGTGGGGATTAGAAATTAAGAATTGGTTCTCCAATTACTTTTGGTGATCGCAAAAAAAAACATTCTCGAATGTGTGAGACCCACGCCTGAGGTCTTTTGTGCTCAACCTACCTGCTTTTAAAAGCCTTTGGAGTCACTGTCCCAGTACAGACCTGTGTCATTCAAGGGAGCGTATACATTCAGACATACTCCAGATCAGATCTGATGGGGGTGGTTTGCAAAATGACTCCTCAACCTCAAACTGGGGCCGACCCAGCTCAGGGGTCATCACATGACCTTAACTATCCTGTCATCGGTCACTGAACAAGCCCATCTCATTGTGCTCCGCCTTCCCACGTCAATTGGAAAACCATCACAAACATTTCACTGTGCAATTGGTGAAAGCTTTTTGTCCACCACTCACTCTTTTAACCTGGATCGTTCAAGTTATGTACCTCTTCGATATGCCATTATGATTTTCTTCTGGCTTTAGGATTTACCATCTCTGATTGGATGATGGATTGTCGTCTCTAATCACCCCACCCCTATATTCCAGTCATTGGCTCTCCAGACTGTCCATCATTATAACTCACTGGCTTCCCAGCCAATCGGAGAACCCATGAGACCCTTTATTGATCAGTTGGCTGATTCTTGACTGTCAGTGAAACAGACTTTTCCCTTGCCATTGCCAGCATTATTATACGCAATAACCTAAGTTGCTGAACAGAAAATGTATTTTTCTTCATGCCCGTGTTTTCCTGGGTTTTTGTTTGCAGCAGCGGGCTGGAGATTGATCTTAAATAACAGAAGACTCTAGTCCAACCCTGAAGCATTGGCATCTCCAGACTTCCTCAGATGTTCCCTCTCAGATCCACACAATTGGAATTTGGATCAGTGACCATGCGCACGGCCTCCACATCTTTGTTAGGAATATAGAAGCAGGAGTAGGCCATTCACTCCCTGCCTTGCTATTCGATTCAATCCAAACTGATCATCCACTTCAATGCCATTTAACCACACTCCTCCCCATATCCCTTTAATCACTGGTGTTTATAAATCTGTCCATCTCTGAACATACTTTAATGATTTGGCTTTCATAGACCCCTGGCATAGAGAATCCCAAAAATTCATA